TCGGCCCAATAATTCACTAGGCGTGCTCAAACACACTCTAAGAAGTCATGACTGATAAATGGTAATGGGACGCTCCCCAGTCTTGGCATCTTCCTCTTGATGACAAGTTGCCCTGTCCGTGTTGAAAGCTACGAAGAGGTGTGTAGACAGCCTGTGGTTACCAATCTTTGATGTTGCAACACTTAAGTGTTTCTCTCTGTCCTTCAAAATTCTGAAAACAAATGAAACTTCGTAGAAGTAATATTAGAAATTCCATACAGTCATACAATACATTTGAGGGAGGGGAGGGTGGCAGATGAATCAGGTTAGTCAGTAAACAAAGCAATAAATAATTCAAAAAAAGTGAGAAATGGCCAATCTATATGAGCTTTGTCCTGTCAGATCATCATGCTTACAGAGAAGGAAAAGAACAACCTGAACAATAAACCTTTACTTTAGGCAAAAACTTTGTAGAGTTGTCAAAGCCGTGTTGTCTTTGTGGAATTTCACAAATGGCAAATGTTATCACCATATCACTTATTCTCCTGGCTGAAAGAACAAATGTGAACATTACTGTGAAAAATTATTTTTTTGTACTATATTTCTGCTCTTTATGAAAGACAGATTTCAAAAAGACAAAAGTAATGTCAGATAAAGAACCAATGTTGATTTTCCAAGGAGACCGCAAAATTTCTCCGGTTTGGTGTGATATGCGTAAGGCCTTTATTTTGGGGAAAACAACCCCCCGCCGCCCTGCCAATTCTCTAGAGTCACGTAAAATTATCACAAGTGTCCTTTGAGGGGTATATTCTACAGACCCTATCTAGTGTAGATAAAAAGTATTGTTACCATAATCTGGATTGTGCCTAAAAAGAGGTCCAAGTATATATGGACTGAGATATTATAATTTATAATCAAGCAACGACTATCTTCCCTCCTGGCTGGTAGATACTTTCTAACTCCAGGACAGACCTTCTACTACTTCCTAAGTCTATCTCCTAAGAGGAGCTAACCACCTTAAATTGCAAACCTGGTAAGTGTCCTAGTTTTGACAGTTTAAGAAAGCTAGGTTCCCAGTCTTAGGTTAGCCTCTGCATTATTCCCATCCAAAAATGAGCCAACAGAATGTTCTCTCTCTCATTCCTTGGATAGCACTGGAAAAAGAAGAGACCGTACCAACGGAGACCTAAGGAAGGCATCCAGGAACATTAGCTCAACAACTTTTGCTGAACCCCTGCTGTACACAGGGCCCTGTGGTAAGCACCCACCATGACAGATCTTAAGAAGCCCAACATATGCTGCATGGGGCCACTAGGGGCAATGAGACTGGGAACTATGGGGAATCCATGGCACAGGCAGAGAGTGCTGTGGGTGCAGAAAGAACAGTGTTTACGGATGAGTAGGAGAGAGCAGAAACCGCGGAGGAAGCAGTAACTGGGTTAAGCAGGATTTCAAAAGGCAGGGAAAGGCAGCGATAGCATTCCAAAGAGAAGGAACAATATGTGCAAAGGTCTGAAAGTCCTTGGCCTATTTGAAAAGACAATAGCAGCCAGCATGACTGAAATTAGGCCCAGAGAGTAAGAAATTAGTTTAACATGAGGCCCGAAGGCGAAATGAGACTAGAAATTAAAAGGCAACAGATACCTTACCAAGGAGCATGAACTTGAAGGCATGGTGGGCGGGGCTTGTAAGCCAATCCTGATCACTTCAGGTGCCTTGTCCAATGATGGTGGGAACCCCAGTGGTCCAAGTCACTGCCATCATTACTAAACAAAAAACCCAGGCTTTCCAGTAGCTATGGTTCAATTACAAAATAAGGGCAAGACCTGAGGAGGGGGCAAAGAGGAGAGCAGGAAAGGTGGAGGAGCTTACAAGGTTATAATTTTTTAGTGAGACAGTCATCAGGAAGGTTTTATATGGAGAAGGTTGTTTCTGTCAGAGGAGATTTAGCATGGGCACCACAGAACTCCTCATTCTTACACTGGGATTTAGGTGAAATATGCCTGACAGAGAGGTAGTGCTAAACCATACGATTCCTCCTCACCCCACACCACCCCTCCCTAACTTACCCATCACATTTTCAACCTGATTCAGGTTGAAACCTGATTTCAACCTGATGAAATATTCCAAGTGTATGGAAAGTCTAAAAGGGTGCCAGAACAATAAAGATGCTGAAAAATCTCTTTGGTTGCAAAAAGTTTAACAGAAAAGATTGTGAGCACAGCCTGAACATGACCAAAGGTGGGGCTGCCTTCCTCTTTAACAATAGCCCCAAAAGGCAAAGAGCTGGACAGGAAAGCTGAGAGCTTTCCCTTGTGTGCACAGCACCACAAAATGGGACTGTCAACTCTATCCTGAAGCGACCTGTGTTAAATGACACTCCAGCCTTTAACCCTTCACCCAACCCAATCTAGGGAGTCCAGATGATGGCACGAGGCAGCAAAATAGTGAGCTACAGAAATATTTCATTCCACATCCAATCAACATAAATATACCATTATTTTTCTTTCAAGCCCCTGGACTTGGAGGAATGAAAATTTACCAACTCTGTGAGGTTGCTACCTGAAGCTAGCTACCTGCCCGGGTGCCCCTCTCGGCATTCTTATCCATGTCAGGTCTTCAGGGCAGCCTCCAAGGCACCTGGATCCTAGCAAGCAATCTCAGCTTGAAGGACTTTTGACATTTGACTTAATCTCCTCTGGATCCACTCAAGGAAAACTTGAGAACAACTGTTCCAAGAGTCTTTCATGAGCTCAACACACCATCAGGTGACCTATGCAAAGGCTCAGGACATAAACCAGTAAACGTTTAATGCCACGGATGGTTTTTCAAAGGGTGTTATGCCTTTATAGAATCTTTTCCTCTTTTTGTTTTAATGCTCATGCTTTATGCTTTCAGGTCTCAGTTCCCCAAGCAATATGAAAAACCTTTAGAAAGATCTTCTTCCTTATAATACTTTTTCTTTCTTTCTTTCTTTCTTTCTTTCTTTCTTTCTTTCCTTCCTTCCTTCCTTCCTTTCTTTCTTTTCTGTTTTCAAATAAAACAAAAAAAAGGGTAACAGAAAGACCAGCCCTCTGAGTACCGGCTCTGGGTCAGTCCACTGGTCAAGGACTTTGTCTAACTTAAATGTGCTCCAAGCAGATCACAGCTTCAGAAAAGACGGAAAACAGTAAAGCTTCAGTGGAACAGATTAACAAAACGTTTTTAACAAATCTTCTCTAAGACTATTTGACCTTTTACCAAAATACACTATTAGGAAATTATTTAAAAAAAAAAAAAAAAAGATATTATCAGGGAAGGGTAGACCCTAAAAGTCAGTTATGTGTTTTACATAAGAAGTCTTGAGTTGTATCGCTTACTTTGGGCTTTATAATCAATAATAATTATATATACTATGTCCAAAGTATCCCGTGTCCAATGAGAGTATGACTTGACTAAAACTAGCTTCATGTCCGCATCATTTACTCCATGAGGAAATGTTTTAGCACCCTCTACTGGCCACTTATACCTAGTCAGCTCATAACCACTCTCCACCATAGAGCTAACTTCCAAAGGTCAGATGGTAGCTACAGTAAAGGCCACCCCATCCCTCCTTCAAAGCCACCCATGCAACAGCTGGGCCAGAGGCCACTGCCACAAAAGGAAAGAACAAAATCCTTAAATGCCCTCCTGCCACTGCTTGTTCATGCGTCCTATCATAGCCGGCAGATTTCAAAATATCACCCTGAGCCCCTGGCTTGCCTGACTGATCTGCATTCCGCCTCCAGTGACCGACCCAGCCTCATTTCTACACTCACAGATTCTTCTATGGGCTGAGCCATGTCACGAGCCTGTCCAGTCTGCTTCATGTAGCCAGCTCTGGTGGGATGCTGGTTGTCTTGAGAGCCCAGCTTACCTATCTGGTATCACTCAGGTAAACAGGACAGAAAGAAGAGCTTGAGGGACATATTTTCCCCCACAAGCTCATAGATATGATGTCAATCAACTTCCTGCCCTTGCTTGTATATTATTCAGACTGGGGGTTTGGGGGAAGATGTCAGATGAGAATTTCTCCTCTCCCATGGTCTCATGACAAAGCAACTTCTAATGTTCCACAGGCCCCCAGAGAAAGCAAGTCTCCTTTAGTAAGATCTGATACAAGTAACCATTAGCCCTGTAAACTCTCATTATCTGGCCCACTTCCTTTCAGAAAGGAAAATATTAGAGTCGGCATGGTATTCATCATTCAATAACAGAAGGAAAGGAAGAAAAAAGGTGGAATGTTTTTCAATCCCAAATCTTGCTAGGTCAAGTTACTCTTTACTGATTAATAAGAGCTTACTGATTTGGCATCAATCATCTACTGAATGAAGAATATTCTTTAGAAGAGGATGTGGCAAAGGACTGAAAAGTAATTCCTGCCATCAAAAAGCTTACAATTTGGTTGCAAAGACCAAACATGCCAAAGGAAATAATTAAAAAGTGATAAAGTGCCATATCCTTTAGTGAAAAATATATACCAGAAATTCCACAAACACACACACACACACACACACACGCAAAGTCCCTTTCTCTCTCATGCATGGGAAAATGGCTAAAATATTAGTAACAGCCATCTCTGGTGGAATTTTAGGTCTGTACTTTTGTTCTTCATATTTTTCAGTCCTGTTTGAATGTCCTACAATAAGAACATTGTATCTTAACAAAGAGAACAGAAATAAATTAAAAACCAATTTATCAAAGGTGTAAACAGGAAATTGCTTACAAATAGAATTTTGTACACAGAATATGACCTATGAACACGGCTAGATAAAAATACGTGGAAAAAAAAGACTGAACAAAAACATATCACATTATTAACGATCATTTTTCTCTACAGGCTACAGTGATTTTGGTCTTTTCTGCCTTTCATATGCTTTCTCAATTCCTAGAAAGTAAATTAATCTTTACTTAAAGCAATTCACATGTTGAACAACTCTCACCCTCATTTTAAAATATCATCAGTGAAAGTGCTTTTGATGACCCCGGGCTTAATGACACACCTGGAATAAGGGCTGTGCTGATGAGGATATCCACCTCCTTGCACTGTTGAGCAAAGAGCTTCATTTCAGCTTCGATGAACTCTTTGGACATCTCTTTCGCATATCCTCCTTGTCCTTCACCAGATTCCTTCAAGTCCACCTCCAAGGGCTCAGCACCAAGAGACTTGAACTGCTCCAAAGCTGCAGCTCTGGTGATTATTGAAGGGAAAGCAGGGGTTATTTCAGGCCCTTAATGCAGAAATCGAGATCATCATTTACATACATATTTGGGGGGCTGGGGTTTTTTTTAAGGTTTTATTCAAATTCCTGTTAGCTAACATAACAGTGTAATATCAGCTGCAGGTGTACAATACAGTGTTTCAACATTTCCATAGAACACCCTGTGCTCATCACAAAAGGTGCACTTCCTCATCCCCATTACCTGTTTCACCCATCCCCCTGCCACCTACCTTCCCTCTGGTAACCATCAGTTTGTTCTCTATAGTTAACAGTCTGTTTCTTGGTTTACCCCTCCTTCTTTCTCTTTTCCCTTTGCTTGTTTTGTTCCTTAAATTCTACATATGAGTGAAATCATATGGTATTTGTCTTTCTTTGACTTATTTCACTTAGCTTAATACAGCTCTATCCATATTGTTGCAAATGGCAAGATTTCATTCTTTTTATGGCTGAATAATATTCCATTGTACACATATACCACATCTTCTTTATCCATTCATTAGTCAAAGGGCACTGGGCTATTTCCATAATTTAGCTATTGTAAATAATGGTGCTATAAACATCAGGTGCATGTATCCCTTTAAATTAATGTTTTTATATTCTCTGGGTAAATACCTAGTATTGCAATTGCTGGATCGTAGGGTACTTCTATTTTTAACTTTTTGAGGAACCGCCATACTGTTTCCCAGAGTGGCTGCGCTAGTTTGCATTCCCACCAACAGTGCAAGAAGGTTCCTTTTTCTTCACATCCTCACCAACACCTGTTGTTTCTTGTGTTACTGATTTTAGCCATTCTGACAGGTGTCAGGTGGTATCTCACCGTAGTTTTGATTTGTATTTCCCTGATGATCAGTGCTGTTGAGCCTCTTTTCGTGTGTCTGTTGGCCATCTGGATGTCTTCTTTGGAAAAATGTCTGTTCATGTCTTCTGCCCAATTTTTAATTTATTTTTTGGGTGTTGAGTTTTAAGAAGAACGAACTATCTTCAAAACTGGAGATTTTCTTTTGATATCTTTGACTGGACTATTTCAATTATCTCCAGAAGTGCATACCACTTCTGTAACTTTTTTTTTCTGGAAAAATAAAAATTATAGGGAATTCCAACTTCTACTTAGTTCAGTTGCAAAAGGAATTTCACTATTGATAACTCCAATAATCAATTATGTTTCTTGGGCCTCCATTGTCAATGATGACATGAGCTCTGACCTACGTTAAGATTTGACTTCATTCCAATCACTCAGGTTGAGATTTTCATTTGTAAATGTTCTGATTTATGGGGACTTCTCTCATATAATGGACTCTTAGAAATATTTTAATAAAGTGATTTTTGTTCCTAGTCCTCATTAAATTGTGTTTGAAAAAAGCAACCTATAAATAGTGTATGTTAAAATGTGAACAGCCAACACATTCAAACTATATAAAAATACATTCAGTTTAAAAAAATAAACTCTAGCCATGCACCGTGTACTAGTTGGAAAACCAGAGCCAACAAAGATCTCAGTTCTGTGGTGGAAAGTGCGTTTAACTTACCAACCCCTATCCCACGATAGTGAATCCCAAACCCCACTAATGACATCGACCCCTTCCCAGACCCACTGAATTACAATCTCCAGGGGAGAGGCCAGAAGCTTTCTTTTTAGCAAGAGCTGCAGGTAATTCTGGCCATCAGGGAAGTTTGGGAAACCGTGGCCTGAGGCCATCAGTCCCAAGCAACAGTCATGGTCAGAGAGAGGACACAAAGGGTAGGACATGATTCAGCAAGAGGTTCTCACCCTTTCTGCTGGCTTGAACAAGGAAGCTTGTAGTCCTGATTGCCCAGGAAGGCCAACTTGTGACACAGGGAAATTAGCCAAAGCTGAGGACAGCCGAGAGGACAGAAAGAACCCGGTCCTGGACGGCACCAATGAACTGCTGACTCGAATGTGAAAAGGGACTCCTTCCCATGGATTTTCATTTAAAAGAGCTAATACATTTATTTAGAGTTTAAGCCAGTCTGAATTGGTGTTTTCTATTCCTTACAGCCAAAAGGATACTGCTGTTTACAAAGTTTAAGAAATGTATACTAGTTTTAATGAAATAAGATGAATTTAAAAAAAATTTTTTTTTTCAACGTTTATTTATTTTTGGGACAGAGAGAGACAGAGCATGAACGGGGGAGGGGCAGAGAGAGAGGGAGACACAGAATCGGAAACAGGCTCCAGGCTCCAAGCCATCAGCCCAGAGCCCGACACGGGGCTCGAACTCACGGACCGCGAGATCGTGACCTGGCTGAAGTCGGACGCTTAACCAACTGCGCCACCCAGGCGCCCCAATAAGATGAATTTGAAATGACCTATATGTATGTGTGAGTGATCACAATTTCATTCAAAGGGTATCTGCATAAATATCTATAAGAAATGATACCAAAAAAAATCATTAGCAATTGGATCTAGCTGGTAGAATTATAAAGGTATTTTCATTTTCTGATGTTTCTCTGTATTTTTCAATAATGGACATGTATAAATAATCAGAAACATAAATGCTATGTTAGAATCTCTGCCCTCAAAATAATTATCACTTAAAACTATTATAATGTATCAAAGTGTAAGTAAGATGTGAATATTTTTGACCCCAAAATTTCATTTCTAGGAATTTATCCTAAGGAAATAATGAACTATCTCCAAATACATATGTTCTTACATAGACATATATACAGTATTGTTTATATACAGTGAAAATGTCCATTATAGAAGACTAATTAAAGAAGTCACTCTATTTCCACACAGTGGAATCCTATGCAGCCATTAAATATGTTTGTAGGTAAGTCAAGATCTTCACAATCAACTGCTAAGTAAAAACAAAGCCAGTTAAAATAGTACTGTTAGTAAAATTACATTTTTAGTTAATGTGTAGAAAAGACAATATATACTGTTCACAGTTCTTTCCAGGGAATAGGCTATTTTATTTTCACTTTTTGTACTTTTTAATGTTTTTTTTGAATTGGGGGAATAAGCATGTATTAGTTTTATGATAAGAAAGGAAACTGAATGTTATAAAATTGATATGTCTATAGTATGTAAAATAGGGCTAATCATCCCCACATCATAGGTTTTTTTGTTGTTATTTTTGAGAAAGAAAGAGAGCACAAGCAGGGGAGGGGCAGAGGGAGAGAGAGAATCTTAAGCAGTCTCCACGCCCAGTGCAGAGCCAGAAGCAGGGCTTGGTCTCACAACCTTGAGATCATGACCTGAGCCAAAAACAAGAGTCAGACACTTAACTAACTGAGCCACCCAGGTGCCCTGAGTGTTTGTAAAGAACAAATAAAACAAAGCAGATAGCACAATGCCCGGAAGAGAGTAAACATTAGTACAGGTGTCTGAAAACTACAGCTCCTGACTTGCCAATTGTTTTTGGAAATAAAGCTTTATTGGAACACACACATACACAAAAAGAAAAATAAAGTAAAGCTATTTTATTTCTAAACTTTGCGACACAGGCACTAAGTAGGATGCTCACTATTGTTACCAGGGGAATCTCTTAGCTATTGTTTGAAAAAATTTAAAAATCACACTCCTTTAATATTAATGAGCAATGAGTTGTCCTTAAGTTTTTAGGATGTTTATCTGAAAATATATACTGTTCAGTCTTCCAACAAGAATTTATAATCAAGTGTGTTTTCTAATGTGTTTGGATTTCATATTTATGATACCAACCCCTAGTCTCAAAATAGTGATTGAGGTATGCATAATCCTTAGAAAAGGATTATATAGTTCAGCCACATCTTTCTTCATTGTGTACTTGAGCTATCCTAGTAAATGGTAAATAAAAATGGAGTTAAGCAACAGCCATCCTCTAGCTATGAGATCTGTACACTATCTAAACCAATGACATCAAAATACACAATAAATTCTCAGCAGCTGACCCAACACCAAGTTTCAAATCATCTCTAAGTCAAATATGCACATTTCCGCATTAATGCTACTGTCGCTACACTGAAAACTTGCACAACCTCCTCTCTCCAGGTTTGGATGTCTTCAAAAACGTCACATCAACAAACATTAAAAATTAAAAGCACAAATAACATGCTTAACACTGGCTATCCTTGGCATGCATCCTCGTTATTGCAGAAAAGCCTTTTCTCATTTCAGCAGGACAGCTTTTTATCAGTACATCACTTCTCTAAACTCCACGTAAGCCCTGTAAATCATATTCTATGGAACATTCCTTACTCCAGAAAGTCACATTCTTTCCAACTTTGAATGGCTGCACATTTTTTTGATCATTCTATATTCAAGATTAGCAGCAGTATTATTCCTCTACTGATCTCAGCTGATAATGAAGAACTATGCATTTTAACCTTGAAATAGTATTCATATATAAAAATAACAGCAATTCTCAATAAGCATTTAATAAAATCCAGCATCTAATATCTTCTGAAATGAAGAACAATTTTAATCAAACTTTTCTTTAAAGAATTCTAGAAAATGTTGGTATGTCTGCTTTAAAGTATTATGCAATGAACATAATTGAGTATTTTCTCCTAGGGGCTCCACTATTGCCCAATCAGCTTTATTTGCTTCCATCAAAATGCAGAGCATACCTCTCCCCGCCCTCTGCCCCCCAGTCTGTTTTCCAAAATACCTCCTATGCTGACTTTTTTTTTTTTTTTTTAATTTTTTTTTTTCCAACGTTTATTTATTTTTGGGACAGAGAGAGACAGAGCATGAACGGGGAAGGGGCAGAGAGAGAGGGAGACACAGAATCGGAAACAGGCTCCAGGCTCTGAGCCATCAGCCCAGAGCCCGACGCGGGGCTCGAACTCACAGACCGCGAGATCGTGACCTGGTTGAAGTCGGACGCTTAACCGACTGCGCCACCCAGGCGCCCCCTGACTTTTTTTTTTTAAGGAAACCCAATGCCCAACGTGGGGCTCAAACTCATGACCCCAAGATCAAGAGTCACATGCTCTAGTGACTGAGCCAGCCAGGTGTCCCCAAAATATCTCCTATACCACTCTCCTCTAACTCACAGACATCTTGGTTCATGTCCTCCCTTGCATTGTAAATGCAATCTGCAGAGCAACAGATTACAAACTCAGGATGGGAATAATCTGGTCCCACTGCTAATCCACATAAAGAAAACTGAATACGAGTTGTTTGTTTTCAATTCTTCTGCTTTTTACATTATTTCTGCTGTATGGAGTCTGGGTCCTTAGATATTTTTTCCCACTAGATAATATTTTTCTACTTTGAGTTAACTTGGAAGAAGTAGAAACATTTTGAAATGTCAAGAGCTTGTAAAGCAGTTTTCAATGTGAAACTTCCATTTATAAATTCCAAAGACAGCATAATATCTACCTGAAACAAAATGTTTTCACCTTAACAGCAGTCACTCATAGAGCACTTACCTGGTGTCAAATCCTCGAACAATAGCACCCATAGACTTCGCTGCACCTGCAGAAGCCAGCCCAGCAACACCACCACCAACTATCAGAATCTAGGGGAAAAGGCAGAACGGTATGTTTCCATTTTTTTTTAATGTTTACTCATTTTTGAAAGAGAGAGAAACAGAGTGCAAGTGGGGGAGGGGCAGAGAGAGAGGGAGACACAGAAACAGAAGCAGGCTCCAGGCTCCGAGCTGTCAGCACAGAGCCCATTGAGGGGCTGAACCCACGAACTGTGAGATCATGACTTGCGCCAAAGTTGGACATTTAACCGACTCAGCCACCCAGGTGCCCCAGAACAGTATGTTTTTTAAAAAGTTCATTATCAACTGGCTATGAAAAATCATCAGCTAATAATTATCAGCACCTGGTACACAGCATTCAGTAATACACCAGGTGGTGCCGGCAGTGGTGATCAGCCCTCAAATATACTGAGTGGATAGACAACACTTTATCTGAACCTCCGCTGTTTTTAAAAATTTATCAAAGGAACAACTGCTGGCAAAGGCCCACAACCTTCACTAAGAAGTCTGACAACCAGCATCTCAGTGTGGAAGCCACATACAGCACAATGGGGATTATGCGTGTTAAAGATTAACAGGTCTTGAGGAGCCTGAGTGGCTCAGTTAGGCATCAGACTCTTGATTTTGGCTCAGGTCATGATCCCAGGGTCATGGGATCGAGCCCCATGTCCGGCTCCACACTGAGCATGGAGCCTAAGATTCTCTCTCTCCCTCTGCCCCTCTTTTTTGTGCTCACACATGTGCTCTCTCCCTCTCTAAAATTAAAAAAAAAAAAAAAAAAAAATTAAATAAGGTAACCGTTAAAGAAAAATAGATTAACAGATCTTTCTCAGTGTGTAAAAGCTACCTGCACTGAAATAAACTCCTAGCGCAGCATTCTAGCTATCTCTCCCCTCACAAATGTTAAGGTTCCTCTATGTTCACAAAATATCAAAATAAGTTTCAAAGATGGATACAACTTTGATAAAATGTCTACCTCCTATTTTGAGTTCAAATGCTTCTGAAAGAACAGCAGGTGACCAACTATCTAATTTTGAACCAATCTGAATGACCAAAGCAACATAACTAATCTCCCTAACCACTGAACAGTTAGAGCCAAGAAAACCAAAGAATTTCTCAGAAACAAGAGTCTCCCGGCCTTCTAAGAAACACAATAAGAGCAATGTTGTCTCCAGTCTGGAATGGGCCTTTCAGAGAAAAGTTCTATTATACTTCCCAGTCAATTGAGGCAACTCCTTGTTGCTGTTTAAAAAAAGAAAGAAAAGGAAAAAAGCCACCCACAGAAAACAGTGAAGCTTATAAATCCCCACCTACCCATCATGCCCACATCTCCTTCCACCTCTTTTTTTTTTAATTATTTTTTTTTAATGTTTATTTATTTTTAAGACAGAGAGAGACAGAGCATGAACAGCGGAGGGTCAGAGAGAGGGAGACACAGAATCGGAAGTAGGCTCCAGGCTCCGAGCTGTCAGCACAGAGCCCGACGCGGGGCTCAAACTCACAGACCGTGAGATCATGACCTGAGCCGAAGTCGGACGCTTAACCGACTGAGCCACCCAGGCGCCCCTCCTTCCACCTCTTTAAGAAGGCTAGTCAAGGGGTGCCTGGGTAGCTCAGTCGGTTAAGCATCTGGCTTCAGCTCAGGACATGGTCTCACAGTTTGTGAGTTCGAGGCCCCACTTCAGGATTCTCTCTCTCTCTCTGCTCTCACTTGTGTGCTCTCTCTCTCTCAAAAAAAAAAAAAAAAAAAAAAAAAAAAAAAAAAAAAAAGGCTAGTCAAACCATACTCCAGTGACCTCTAAGCAGTGTCTCCGAGATCATGTGAATTGATCTAGATGGTGAAGGTCACGGGGGAGGGTGTTAAGCTACAGGGAAGGGGACAAAGAAGGAGCACAGGGAACAAGTTGGCTCTGGGATCCAAGGCACCAACCCTGCTCCACACAATGAAAATGTGAAATAAAAATAAGTAAAACTCACAAGACTAGACCAAGTTACCCTGAATCCAGAAATAACAAAAGACCTCATAATTTAAAAGGCAGAATCACACAATAATAAAGCCAGGTAGATCTGACAACAGAAACTTACTCTTTCTCTCCAGGATGGGGTGAAGGAAAAGACAGAGGTTAAGAATCGGAGTGAAATCCCAAATCGGCTACCAACTAGTTCTGGGTAACTCTGAGCAAGCTGCTTAGTATCTGCAATAACACAGTTAAAAAACCTTCCCAGAAGGCAGTTACATTAAATGATGGGATACAAAGCACTGACTGCTAACTGGCACAACATAGACATATACTCAGAAAATAGGGGAAAGACCATGGGAAAGGAATGACCTTTAGGAATGTTCTTAATTTCCAGTCAGTTAACCTGTTCTTCCTCCTGACCTCCCCATCTCAGTTAAGGGCACTAACTGTGCAACATAACCATTCAAGCCAAAACAGGGAGGTCATCTTGCGCCCTCCCTTTGCACATTTCTACCTCCAATCCCTCAGCAAGCACTCTTGGAGTTAACCCCCAAAGATCTCCCAATCCACCCCCTTCTCTACATCTTTACTGCCACTACCTTCCCAGGGTACTATTTCAGCAATCAATTCTGAACAGGCCTTGCCTTCACTCTTCCCCCTACTATCCATTCGCCCCTAGAACTTCCAGATGACTTTTTTAAATCCTCGTGAGATAATAGAATATATATATATTAGTTTCTGTCTCCAGTTCCTGACACAGAACTCCTAAAACCAAGAGCAGCAGGAACATTTTTTTGCAGCAGGAACATTTTTTTGTTCCAATATCTGGTCTTTGACCCCAGTTAGTGATAGAGTTCCTAAATCCCTTAGAATTTTGAGGGTGACAGCAGTGTCTTTTGTTCTAATGAGTTGACTCCTGGTTGGCTCCTGGATGACAGCTGACCACCAGAAAGCCCATGGTTAGCAGCTGAGAATTTTCAGCTCCACCTCCCATTCTCCAGAGAGAGGAGAAAGGGCTGGAAAAGGAGTTAATCATCCATTGTTCCCACGTGATGAAGCCTCCATATAAAAAATCCCCAAAGTACAGGGTTTAAAAGCTTCCAGGGTGGTGAACACACGGAGGTGCAGGGAGAGTCGTGTGTCCAAGGAGGGCTCCATGCCCCTTCCCACATCCCTCGCCTCATGCATTTCTTCCATCTGGGTGTTCACCTGTATCCTTTATCATATCCTTCTATAACAAACTGGTAAACAGTAAGGAAACTATTTTCCTGAGCTCTGAGTTCTAGCAAATTAACCGAACCTAAGGAGGAAGTCGTGGGAACCTCCAAATGATTTATAGTCAATCTGTCAGAGGCACAGGCAACAACCTGAGCTTGCGAATGTCATGTGAAGCGGGGAGAAGGCAGTCTCGTGGGACTAGCTCTTCACCTGCGGGATCTGACACGACCTCCAGGTAGACAGTGTTAGAACAGAGTTAAGTTGTAGCACACCCTGCTGGTGTCACAGAATTGCTTTGTGTGGAGAAAACCCCCACATATTAGGTGACCAGAATGTCAGAAGTGAAGCGTTCTATTTGAAAAAAAAAGTGAGTTTTTCCAAAACAATCCTGAATCAGACACTTCCCTCCTCTGTGAGAAAATGTGAACAAGACCTGTAAGAGAAGCTCAACGTCATCCAGCCCCAACCTACCTTTCCACCATCATCTCCAATCGCTCACCACACTCCAGACCAACAGCCTTCTTTAGTCTGTTCTTTCCCATCCCAGGGCTTCATACGTGCTGCTCCTTTGGAAGCTCCTTTTCCTACGTGCTGCTCCTCTGAAATCCTAAGTACCTGGTTTCTTTCGCACCATCCATTAGGCCTCGGTTCTAATGTCAAATGGAAGCCTTCCCATCACCCTAGCAAAAGCAGCTTGCTCCCATGACTCACTATCCTATCATCCTGTTCATTTTTTTATATTTAAAATGATCTCACCTATTGATTAGATTATGTATTTATCACCTCACCGTGGCCCCTACTAGAGTGTAAGTTTCATATGACAGGGATCTCCTTTGCCTTGTTCATCCCATAGTCCAGCTCCTAGAGCAGTGCCTGGCATATTGGAAGCCATCAAATAACTAACTGATAGCTCATTGTAGACAAGTAAGAACCTTCCGTGTTTAAAGAAAAGTCAAATAAAGTATTCTTCAATCTACCTTGATAAACTCACCTAATGTCTAATTCTTCAATATGTAACTATTTCTGACATGTAACCAAAGTCTTTGAAGCTGCAATTTAAATTCGCAGGAAAGACAGTCACTTTTCTACCTCTTAAGGGCTGATTGATTCTCCTTCCTTTAAGCCTCTGGTCTTTTGTTTCACTTTTTAATCTCTTATATATTCACAGCTTTCCTCTCAGCTTCCACATAGTTCGAGAAAGAGTCTAACCAAAACTGAGTAGCAGATTTGTGCATCAAAGCATTTGGCCAGTTTGAAAACAGCATTCAGGGACACCTGGGTGCCTCAGTTGGTTAAGCGTCCAACTCGGTTGCAGCTCAGGTCATGATCTCAGTTTGTGAGTTCCAGCCCCTCATCGAGTTCCTCACTGTGCTTGGGATTCTCCCCCTTCCCCCTACCCATCCCTTGCACAAGCATACTCGCACATGCTCTCGATCTCTCTTTCAAATAAACTTTAAAAATAATAAAATAAAATAAAACCAGCATTCAACTTCTGGCCACCGTAAGTGCCAGACCCATTCTCATGATCCTGACAAAGGAGTCAAAACGTCATCACTTCAGGGGCACCTGGCTGGCTCAGCTGGAAGAGCATGTGACTCTTGGTCTCAGAGCTATGAGTTTGAACCCCACTTGGGTGTAGACATTACTTAAATAAAATAAATAAACTTAAAAAAAAAAAAAAAACATAGTCACTTCACATAGCACATCTCTGTTGTTGTTTGCTAACTTCCTTGTTATGTATTCTGGCCTCCACTCGAAGCACTTTCATTTTCTTTACCTGGCCTGTTCTTAAAGCAATTTATTTCTCAAAGCTGCTAGTATCTTTTTTTTTTTTTTTTCATTTTTTTCTAGGAGATTTATTTCATGTGCGTTCTCGGTTTATATAACAAAGTACATAAGAGCAGGAAGCACTGAGTAAACCTATGCCTACAGGCAGAGAGTATACTCTTCAGATAGATGAACAACATTTAAAGTCCTATTTTCTATACCGAGACAACATGCTTATATGGTCAATTAGTATATGTAATGTTGAAGGGTCATAACATAATCTATTCTTTTACCTAGCCATCCCAACCTGTCATCAACTGCTCCTCTCTGCTTTCAATCTACATTAAAGAAACCACACCCACTTCCTTTGCCAATTACCCAAATACAACACCTCCCTTTTTCCGTCCTCTTAACCCATATTTGAAAAAAAGTGAAGGGGTGCTTGGGCGGCTCAGTCGGTTAAGTGTCCAACTCTTGACCTTGGCTCAGATAGTGATCTCATGGCTCGTGGGAGGGAACCCCAAGTTAGGCTCTGCGCTATCAGCTGGGAGCCTGCTTGGGATTCTCTCTCTCCCTCTCTCTCTGCCCAGTGAAAAAACTAAAACAATCTTTTCTATGAACAAAATGTCACAATTGGGAAATCTAGAATCTACAAAACTAAGACAATCTTTTCCATGAACCAAGTGTCACAACATTGGGAAATCAAGAATCTACTGAATGGTATCTTGAAGCTTTTTCAAACATCAGTAATAAACACCCTACATACACAGAACAAGTTATCCAAAACCCCTTTAAGAATTCAAGTTAGTAAGTAAAAAAAAAAAAAAAAAAAAAAAAAAAAAAAAAAAAAAAACCTAGAACTTCCAGAAATGTCAAAATTCTTTTTTGTCAAGCAAACATACACAGCTTTGAGGCTTTACCATATATTTGTACCAAATATACACAGGGTTAACACTGTGAAGTTAACACAGAACAAAACTTTTAAAATAACTGTATTTTAGTACTACACATACCCTTACCTTTAAATAATTCATATTATGGGGGCTCCTAGGTGGCTCAGTCGGTTGAGTGTCCGACTTCGGCTCAGGTCATGATCTCACGGTTCGTGGGTTCGAGCCCCACGTCGGGCCCTGTGCTGCCAGCTCAGAGCCTGGAGCCTGCTTCAGATTCTGTGTCTCCCCCTCTCTCTGCCCCTCCCCTGTTCACGCTCTGTGTCTGTCTCTTGATAATAAATAAACATTAAAAAAATTATAAATAATTCATATTTGAAGAAACATTAAAAGTTCTACCTACCTTAGCTGGAGGAACTTTTCCAGCAGCTGTGATCTGACCAGTAAAAAACCGTCCAAAATGATTTGCTGCTAGTACAACAGCTTTGTAGCTGAAAAAATAAATATTTCCATAAAATTAAAGAGCTTAGACTAATATATTATTGTAAGCCACCAATGAAGCTTTAATAGTCAAAGATAATCACTAACATTTAAAATTTTTTTTTTTTTTCAACGTTTATTTATTTTTGGGACAGAGAGAGACAGAGCATGAACGGGGGAGAGGCAGAGAGAGAGGGAGACACAGAATCGGAAACAGGATCCGAGCCATCAGCCCAGAGCCTGACGCGGGGCTCGAACTCACGGACCGCGAGATCGTGACCTGGCTGAAGTCGGACGCTTAACCGACTGCGCCACCCAGGCGCCCCTGATAATCACTAACATTTAAATTGTACCTACTATGTGTCAAAAACCGCTGAGTGCTACATGTATAACTACTCCTTTAACCTCCTCCACAATCCTACAGACAGGTACAGTTTTTACCTTCATTTTATAGGTGAGTAAACAGACACACAGAGAGTGGAAGAGACTTGCTGTCACTCGGCTAGCAAATGGCAGAACCAGAAGCCTAACCCTGGCTGGCATCCTACCTCCACAAGCACACTCTTACCCACGATGTTCCCTGGCCTTTTCAGAATGAACACTGCAGAAGATCAGTTGGTGTAAAAAAAGAAATGAAGGAAAGACCAAAAAAATGCTAACAACGGTTTTCTTCCAGTGCTGAAACTACAGACACTTCAGACTTTGTTTTACTTCACTGTATTGTCCAAATTTTCTTTAATGATTATGTAGTATTTATGTCATAGGGAAAAACTTTAAAATGAAAAAGAAATGAGATATAGCTATATGCTTGTACATAATAAAATTCTAACCTCAAACCAAACCAAAAAAAAAAAAAAACAGAAAACAAAAAACAAACAAACAAAAAACTTCCCCTGAGGCAGCTGGGTGGCTCAGTTGGTTAAACATCCAACTTAAGCTCAGGTTATGAGTCGCCATTTGGTTCCTGAGTTCGAGACCCACTCTGATGGTGCAGAGCCTGCTTGGGATTCTGTCTCTCTGCACCTCCCCCACTTGTGCACACTCTCTCTCAAAATAAATAAATTAAATTAAAAAACAAAACAAAAAAACTTCCCTTGATCGCTAAGATTTGAAAGTATGGAATTTTGAGACACAGTGACCTCCGTGCAGGGCCCAGTTCTACCACTAACTGGCTTTGTGACCTTGGGTAAATTTCTCTAAGTCCCTAATCCTTGGTTTCCTCATCTACAGAGTGGGGACAAAAAGAGCATCTCTTAGTGTTGTTATGAGGACTAAGTGAGACCAGGCAGGTAAAGCACTTAGCACAAAGCCTGCCATCATAAGTGTTTGGTAAATCCTAGTGTTTTTGGCTAAAGAAACATTCTGTGCAGCAAAAACAAGTAAAATATACCATATATACCATCTTTTCTTACGAGGATACTGTTAACATATTATACTAATTTCATTTTCAGAGCATTTTATCCTTAAAAGGCACCTCTACACATTAACTATGACACGTTATAATTAAAATTACAATGCAACTATTTATTAAAATCTACCTGCTAGCTGAAAATAAAACCTTTCCCTGATCATATTTTTTTCCTGGCCATACTTTTTATAAAATAATATTGATATAATAACTGATGCAAAAGCATATAATGGTAACCACTACAACTTTAAATCATATTATAGCAGAAAGGCAATATTTTAGAGACCACGTTACTTGTTAGTCTTACTTCTGAATCCAAGTGACAGAAACTTTCAAAAAACCAAACATGATAAAGATTCAAAGTCCACTGTAAGAAATTTTGGAATTAATGTTTTAAAAGATTCAGCTGCTATTCTGAAACAAATAACAAAAATGAGATGAGTTACACAGGAATGTACAAGAAAACGTTGATAGTGGGGAAAAGTGATAACAGTTTGCCTCTTTTTGATGACAGCAAAAAAAGCTCAGAATGGACATGAATGAACTGGAAGGAGCGTGTCTTCACTGTAATATGGCTGTGTGTGTGACTCAGATAATGATTTATCAGGTACTGTGTGGATAAGTATCCTAGAAGATGCACCTCAAACTATGCCCTTTGCATATATCAGCTCAGGATGTAAGATAGCGATTCTTCAAACTGTGTCCCATGGATCCCCAAAGGTTCAAATTCCAGCCAACTCTGGGGCCATACTGGGTGGGGTAGAGAACAAACATGTTTCTGAACAACCCTCCGTCCCTCAGTTCAACTAAGGCCACTCTGCTCTTATTGCATTTGTTTATATTGCCTCATAATATGTCATTTGCCCAAAAGATTCTACGGCTAAAAAGCACTGGGCTGGAACCACTGGCTTTGATAACCTTTCATATTCTACATTTCACAAGACAAAATCAAAGATCACATTGTACGTTTTCTACAGAAAACATTTAAGTCTCAGGGCACTTGGGTGGCTCATTCAGTTAGGCATCCAACTCTTGGTTTCGGCTCAGGTCATGGTCTCACAGTTCGTGAGTGCGAGCCCCGCATCAGGCTCCTGGCTGACAGTGCAGAGCCTGCTGGGGATTCTCTCTGCCCCTCCCCTGTACTCGCTCACTCTCTCAAAATAAATAAGTAAACTTTAAAAAAAATAAAAGAAAATCTTTGAAGTCCCATGATACATAATGTAACTTTTCTACAAACAAAATAATATGGCAAAAATTTATTTTGTCCTTTGGTGTATACTTTATATCGCAAAAAATATCTTCAAACCAACCATTTGCTATGTTATAGTAAGGATAACAAAATGTGTTTTTAGCTTGTCCTTTTTGTTTTCTGCTTTTCTTTCAAAAATGAAACCCAAAGTAGACTCTATTTGATCTATTGGCCTAGCTGATATGCTACACCTAAGCTATAAAACCTAAGAAAACCTTCAGGTCATGTGTCAGGCCATAAAAGGCTTTATTAACGTTAGTCTCTCTTGCATGCGCCGTTTGATTTTTTTTTAACCGTTTTCATTTGTTGGTGCCTCATTCATATTAGCAAATTGTCACTATCAGCAGTTCGCATGCTTAAAATCTAATTCAACTATCTCCTGAGGAGTTGATTTCATACGCATCTTCAATTTCCAGATTTTTCCCGCTCTCTAGGCAGTCAGCAACACGATACACCCCATCCCCCCGGGCAGGAGTGATTGCTCAGTCACAGCCCTGTTCCTCAGAGCAGGAGGGGCCTTAGTCTCCTCTCAGCGCAGCTCTTCAGGCAGTAAAGTGGGAACGCAGCAGTGGCGGGCAAAGGTAAGAGGACGTAGTTAGCCCTCAGTTATCAATATGTGGTTTGGGGGGGAGGGGGGGTAATAATTTTTTAAAACTTTTTTAACATTTATTTACTTTTGAGAGAGAGACAGGGTATAAGTGGGGGCAGGGGGGTACAGAGAGAGAGGGAGACACAGAATCCAAAGCAGGCTCCAGGCCCTGAGCTGTCAGCACAGAGCCTGACGTGGGGCTCAAATTCATGAACAGTGAGATCATGACCTGAGCTGAAGTTGGACAGTTAGCCGACTGAGCTACCCAGGTGCCCCTATTAATACGTGTTTTGACACCAGGTAGAACTTTGCCAAATACAGACATTTTCCCTATTTGCTAAATATTTTATGAATTTACCTAAGCAAAACAATTAAAATGGTAAATGCTAATATGTATGTGTCAGGTTGAACAATATGAAACTGCCAATATCTGACCTTTTTTGACCTATAAAAACAGCAATTTATGTTAACTAACTTACTGTGGCAATCATTTCACAATATACTGATATATCAAATCATTATATTTATACCTTAAATTTACACAATGTTATATGTCAATTGTCTCAAATAAAATCTGAAAAAAAGTAGCAGGGTGCCTGGGTCGCTCAGTCGGTTAAGCATCCGACTTTGGCTCAGGTCATGACCTCACGGTTTGTGGGTTCAAGTCCCGCATCAGGCTCTGTGCTGACAGCTCAGAGCCCAGAGCCTGCTTTGGATTCTGTGTCTCCCTCTCTCTGTCCCTCCCCCACTTGTGCTCTGTCTCTCTCTCTCTCTCTCAAAAGTAAATAAACATCAAAAAAAAATTTTTTTTAAGAAAAAAAGTAGCAATTTCTACCTAATGTATACATGTGTATACACGTATATACACACATACATGCAAGACAGTCTATTCCTCATACAAATAATTTCACAATCATTTGCTCTGGTGGAAGGAAACAAGACTTCTACCCATGAAGAGTAGAATATGAAGAGTCATTTCTTTTAACTATGAAATAATAAACCGAGCCTTAAAAAATAAGGGCACTTTTGGTGCACCTGGGTGGCTCAGTCAGTGAAGCCTCCAACTTCAGCTCAGGTCATGATCTCATCATTTGTGAGTTCAAGCCCTGCATCAGGCTCTGTGCTGATAGGTCAGAGCCGGGAGCCTGCTTTGGATTCTGTGTCCCCTCTCTCTCTACTCCTCCCCCACTTGTGCTGTCTCTGTCTCTCTCTCTGTCTCTCTGTCTCTCTCTCTCTCTCTCTCTCAGAAATAAACATTAAAAGAATTTTTTTTTAATTAAAAAAATAAATAAGGGCACTCTCAAAGTGTTGGCACTTTTATCCCCAACAATTATTACAAGTAAAAGCACTATAAGAGAGAAGAGTCACAATGAGCATGTTTCTAGAGTAGCACTGTGCTTTGTTCAACCAAAATGGAAAGGAATCAACATACCCAGCAATGTTGGCCATGGAGCTTAGCGCATCATATCCCTGAGCAATCGTGACTCTTGGAACCTGGTCCATCGCCAAAACTGTAGTTTTTCTTTTAGAAAGTTTATTTAGCAAGTCTGGATTTTGGGCTGGGTAAATAAAGCTAATCAATGTTCCCGATGTCTTTAAAAGGTCGACCTCATGAACACCTAATGTTGGATTAACCATGGGAGCTCGCACCTGAGGAAAAAAAAGTCAAGTCACTGATTAATAATGTAAATACCTTTATCATATTTTTAAGTAAACAGGACAATCTAAATGACATGCCATGATTGAAATAATAGGCCAGAAGTAATCTTTCAGCAATAAATTTTGGACTAAATTCCTAAACAAGGTAAGGAGCACCAAGATCTTTGCCATCTGTCCTCTGACTGATGACCAACCTAGGAACTGATCTGAGTAAAGAGCATGCTATCATTCTGGAAGGTTCCCCCCCCACCCAAAATTTTATTTTTAAGTAAGGCTCATAACATGGCTTTACCATTGCCAGCTTTTCCTAAGTTTCTGCAGAAACACATTCAGATAAGCAGATTCATTTGTGGGCTTTTAAGGTGTGTTTTATATCCAAGTTTAAAATCGATCTTCAATTAACATGTATCATGTCCTTAGCTCTAAGTTCACAGTAGCACTTTTAGGCAAGTAAGCCCAGAAAACAATAGCTCAGGGACTTAAATTTTTAAAGGAAACAGAAACACAAACACTGGGTCAATATTTTCATTTCATAGCACTTCATCTCATTTACCTAGGAAACATCTTTGTTACTGCCATGTCAGTTCTTGATCTGGTGACACATATGATTTTAATTAAGGTTCTGGATTCTAAGACTCTCTAGGGGCGCCTGGGTGGCTCAGTTGGTTAAGCATCTGACTTCAGCTCAGGTCATGATCTTGCGATTTGTGGGTTCAAGCCCCACATCAGGCTCTGTGCTGACAGTTCAGAGCCTGGAGCCTGCTTCAGATTCTGTGTCTCCCTCTCTCTCTCTCTGCCCCTCCCCTACTCATTCCCTCCCTCCCTCCCTCTCTCTTCTCCCTCTCTCTAAAATAAACTTAAAAAGACTCTCTGGCAAGGTCTATTTTTCCTCATTGAGAATCTAAAATATAGATTTAATAAAAATTAGAGGTCAACTTTGAATTAATCCTACTGGCCCTTATCAAATGCTCAGCTGAGACTGTTGGCATATGAGTGAGTTAAGTCAACAGAATGTTTTCCTGAATGTGCTTTTTGGATCACTAGTTCCCCAGGATGTTAACAGGCTTGACTCAAAAATAGTTTACTAATGCAAGTATAAAGTTATCTAAGTTACTATATCATAGGATTTCTCCGTGCTTGTAACATGCTCATACACGCTGTGGATCTAAAGGAACACAAAGTGCTTCCACAACTTATATACACCTTACTAACCCTTTACTGTGGGGTATCTCAAAAGGTTTTGATCCCTGGAGCATATGTTGGAATGGATCATACTCATTTTTCTATTTGCCCTAAGCTCTTTTACTATACTAAGTTATATCACCAAGTATCTGTACACCTAAACACTTTAAAAGTTTTGGCTGAATTGCAACTTCCCCACATACCATAAATTTCACTGTTAATTTCCACACCAAAAAATTGTTTTGTCTTCTGCAAAGATCACTACTCTACCAAGTTATTCAGTAGAATTTATGTTAAAAGAAAAAAAAAGCAAACAAAAAAAAAAAACAGTTACATGATTGATGCCCCTTACAAATTAACACACATACCAAAAAAAGCTGGTCTTTCCTGAACAAGTGAGGAGCTTCTTTTTGCCTAGTAATCATGCTACTACAATCCCTATCTCCCTCTTTGTCTTGGCTGCAGAAGGCTTAGGATTTAGGCTAATGCTACTCCCTGATAATTATCTAAGGTACACTTGTGATAGTCCCTTCCTTTTTCCATTTGATTTTTTTTTACTTCAGATTTTATGTCTGAAGCTCTTCAGCACATAGATTTCTATTACACATTAAGACCTTTCATTAAAGTAGGTAAGGCTGTCTCTACTCAGCCCCGTGCTGCTTTCTCCAAGGCAGCCCTGCCCTCTCTAGAAATAGCACTTAGGTCAGTTAAATCACTGTTCCTTCTACATATCAGAAGATCAGGGTACGTTCAGTCCTAGGAGGAGTCCCGTGCCCTTTTTCCATTCTGGTAGCAGTTAAATACTCACCTGTGGGTATTCTGGATATGTATGAACCATGAAGTGCAAATTCTCCCTAGCCAATAAGAAGGGAATTTCCACATGAAAATCTAAAAAGGAAGATCACTTTTTCTACTCTCATGGTTAAACAGAGATCACACTGCCTGATAAAAGTTCTACCAGACTATGAAGAATATTCACAACATGCAACCATTTCTCTGAGAAAAGGCAGTGTTTGAAAATATGAAGAGTTATAACAATATGATTTTTCCATGAACCCTTTTTAAAAAGCGAGCTATAAATGAGGGGTGGAAAGGAATAATTACTTTGACCACCAAATCAGAAGCCAGCACTTCCTTCGCCCCTTGGATTTGGGCACCTGCTGCTCTGTAGTGATCATCAGAAAACTTGGAAGCTTCGCCAGCACCCGATTCCACGACAACACTAAAACCCTGCTTGACCAAGGCCTGAACACCAGCAGGAGACAATGCCACCCGTTTCTCATTTTGGAAAATCTCCTTGGGGACGCCAACAGTCAGTTGCTTATATGGAATTCCTACAAAGTGAGGGAAAGAAAGAAAGAAAGAAAGAAAGAAAGAAAGAAAGAAAGAAAGAAAGAAAGAAAGAGAAAGAAAGAGAAAAGGAGAAAGAGAGAAAGAAAGAGAGAAAGAAATGAAGAAAGAAAAGGAGAAAAGAACGGGAGAGGGAAAGAGAGAGAGAAAAAGAAAAAGAAAAATTAATTCAGTAAAAAACATAAAAACAATGTTTTAATAACAGTTCAAAAAATGAAAATGGGCAGTCTGTTCAAAATATACTGAACATACAAGTTGCTGCTCAAAATAATGTTCCTGATTCATAATCATAATTGAGTTTTTTGAATAATGGGAAATATTTATGCCCACTCTCTTAAATTCCAAATATTTCATTTAACCAAATAGCTCTCTTCAAGGCACATGACTAGATTATTCTTAGGAAAAAAATGGGTTGAGAGATCAATCAAAATGCTAACTCCACTCTTCAAACTAATCCTCTGGGATTTATGGTCTCCTTGTCCTCACCTTTAAGGAAGACAGAACTAATTAGCTGTTTTGAAGAACAACCCTATACTAGACACATTGTTGGCTACACTCAAAGTTTTCTTCCTGGCAATTTGGCCACAGGCAATTCCTCACAGATTCCAAGTGTTGTATCCTGAGACCCTACATTCTTGGCCACAGCGAATAAGACCAAGGATCAACAGCTGGGTCAAAGATAATAGTCTATAGGCCAGAGAGTCCCTGAGATGACTTACATAGGAACTGCCCAAGGACACTCTATGTTGGCCAGTGATGACCCAACCCATTCAGGTACTCTGAGTGTCTGAATGCGAGACCCACAGAAAAGGACAGGGGGAGTAAAGGGTACAAAAGCTATTTGTAAGCAGCCATGAGGTTAAAGGTAGACAAAGGGAGGTCTACAGCAACAGTAGCAGAAACATCAGTAGTGGTGATACAAAGAGGAAAGATGAGCCATAGTTATGGAATCCAGAATACCATTCCACTTTTCCTAGAAGTAGATGAGGGGTTTCCTAGGCTTCTGTACTTTCCAAGAATACACCCAATAAACCCTCATCACAAAATAGGACCTTGATGCAATCCTGTTCCTTATAACCCAAAAGAGCCTGTATAAAATACATAAGTATTTATATATGGCTCTGAACAATTTTAGCTAAAGTTGCTTCTGTTGTTTTATTCAACGTGCAGGCACAAATAGACTTTTCTTTTAAAAAAAATCTGCTTCTGTATGTTGTACCAAAGTTCAGGAAATCTACTCTAGCAACCTAAACTCTGAAAATACATAATAAAAAAACAAATTATCTCTACAGAGTAACAATATTGAGGCCTTAGAGAAAGTAAGTCAACTTAAAAATACCTGCATTCAAACAGAATCTTAAACCCCATACTCCATTAGCAGTAATAACTAAAAGTAAGCCAAAGGCAAACATGTGGTGAACCTTAACCTCTGTTTGAAGGAGAGGGAGGAAAATACTAGAAAGCTGGAAATATTCCAGATTGATGTGCAAAGTTAAATCACATAAACATCTGGAGTTCACTTATCTGACAAGGTCAAATTACCTAGGCCCTATATACCATAAGTCAAAGAAGCCACCAAAGACAAATGAAGTCCCATCAAACAAGTTCGGGAGCCAACTTGAAAGGCCAAATATGAAACAATTTGAGCATGAAAAAGAATAATTAATTGCAATGTAATAAAATACATCCGAGGATGTTAAAATGCAGGAGTTCATTATGATACTCAAAAAATAAATATTTTTTAAAAGCTTCATTGGCCAACTTTAGCGGGTATGTGATAAGCAGAATAATGGTATTCCATAGGTGTCCACACTTTTAATCCTCAGAACCTGTGAATGTGTCAGGATACACAGCAAAGGAGAATTAAGGTAGCAGATGGAATTAGAGTTGCTAATCAAATGACCTTGAAATAAGGATTAGCCTGGATTATGTGGGTGGGCCGACTGTACTCACAAGGGTCCTTAAGTGTGAGAGAAGAAGGCAGAAGAGCCAGAGTCAAATAGTAGTCTGAAGATGCTATGCTGCTGGCTTTGAAGATGGAAGAAGGGGCCACGAGCCAAAGAATATAAGCAGTTTCCAAAAGCTGGACAAGGGAAGGAAACAGACCACCCTTAAAGTCTCCAGAAGGAATACAGACAGCCCCACCGACACCTTGATGTGAACCTAGTGAGAGCCATTCTAGACTTTGGCCTCCAGCAGTGTAAGATAATAAATTTGTGTATGTATGAAGTTGTGTTACCTTGTTACAGCTGAATAGAAAACTAATACTTTAAGAAAACCAAGAGATTATTACCAAAACTATAAAGAATGGGACAGAACCAAACATTTATCCCACCTTACCACTACAACCTCAGGATAACTAAATAACAGAGGGAAAGTTTTTCTTTATAGAAAAATTCTAGCTAGGGGCGCCTGGGTGGCGCAGTCGGTTAAGCGTCCGACTTCAGCCAGGTCACGATCTCGCGGTCCGTGAGTTCGAGCCCCGCGTCGGGCTCTGGGCTGATGGCTCGGAGCCTGGAGCCTGTTTCTGATTCTGTGTCTCCCTCTCTCTCTGCCCCTCCCCCGTTCATGCTCTGTCTCTCTCTGTCCCAAAAAAATAAATAAACGTTAAAAAAAAAAAAAAAAAGAAAAATTCTAGCTAATAAATGAAGATAAAATGATAGTGTATCACCATTTCAAACCCCCTCCCCATAAAACCATGGATTTAGTTGATGATCATTAAATGGCTGTTATAGCCTTTGAGTGAAAAACTGATGGGAGCTCCATAATGGATGAATATCAACATCTAAACTCACTGATTAATTTTCCTGACGAAATGCAACAGATAGTACACAGCATCCACCTATGAAGTATTCTTGTCAAAAAAAACAAAAACAAAAACAAACCTGAGTCTAACCAAGCCTCTAGGTCTAGCTAAATGGTACAGAAAACACAAGGAACAGAGAAACTGGTTAAATAATATGAAGGGAATTCATTCAGCCAAACCCAGAATGTGAGAAATTCTACAGGGCAACAACTACATTCTTCAAGAAATAAAGAAAAAAGAAAAAAAAGGGGGAACAGAGATCAAAAAAGACCTGAGAGATACAGTATGCAAATACAACATGTGGACCCTGTTTGGATCGTTATTTGGATAAGACAACTGTAAAAACAGAAACTGAAAAAATACGAATACTGACTGGAATTACTTTTCATGCTTTGCAATGTGGTAATGAAATTGCGGTTATGTATTTTTTAAAATAGAATCCCTATCTTTTAGACATAAAAAGTAATTATCTGGGAAATAGTCAAGAACTACAAATTAAAAGTCTCCTGCATAGTCAATATAGAGATCTTGATGTCCATGCCTTTACTCACAAGGAAAATTTTCACGTCCTCAGTGCAGTTACTTACTTTTATCTTAGACACAATTTTATCACGCTTGGATAAGCTGGCTTTCTAAAACACCTAAAATAAAAATCTGAAGAGGGATGCCTGGGTGGCTCAGTTGGTTAAGGATCCAACTTTGGCTCAGGTCATGATCTCGCAGTTCGTGAGTTCAAGTCCCGCATCAGGCTCTGTGCTGACAGCTCAGAGCCTGAAGCCTGCTTTGGATTCTGTGTCTCCCTCTCTCTTTGCCCTTCCCTCGCTTGCACTCTGTCTCTCTGTCTCTGTGTCTCTCTCTCTCTCTCTCAAAAACTAAATAAACATAAAAAATATAAATAAAAAAATAAAAATAAATAGAAATAAATCTGAAGATAAAGTTGAGGGCTCTCAGGGACAGGTACCCTGCCAACAGTCACTTGTCACATGAGAACAAGAAAGAGGCTGTGAAATCTATTAAAGACAAACATAAGAACTCAAAAAGCATAGCAGTGTAGGGATTCTGATTGCCCAGAGTCCTGCAAACTTAAATTAAAAAGAAGGGCATTATTCTACGTGGCAAAGACAGGTATCTATCCTAGTCTTCCACCTGAATAACAGAATGCCAATTTTAGTTGAGTTTGTCCCCATCTGGAATAAAGGACCTCTTCTGTGTCCAAGTCTCCCTTACAGCTAAATAATTGCCGCCTGTCTGAGTTTTTGCCAATGAGGTACAGAGAGCTATGAGGGTCTTTGCACAAAATGCATAATAAAAGGATCTCCCTCAGCTTAGGGAGCCCTCGTTTAGCCTCTCCTTCTGACCTGCGCACAAGAACAGACGCGAGTGGGGACCCTAGCAGGGAACACCTTGTAGGGTACTGAAAGACTTCAGCTCTTCCTCTGCGTGAGCTAGGACACTAGTGGCAAATTCTGAGTAGAAGAGTGCCATGATCTTTCATTTTAAAAAGATGATGCTTTTGTGTATAGAACAGACTGTCGTGGGGGCAGAGGCAGAAAGCATAGAGAGCACTTAGGAGACTAGCACAGCAGTCCAGGGGACAGATGATGGTGGCTCGGAACAGGACGATAACAGTGGCGATGGTGAGAACAGACCCTGGATACAAGGTAGAGCTAACCCATACCTACTATGAAGACCAAGATGACTCCAGGGTTTCTGACCTGAGCAACTGAGATGAAGCTGTCATTCAGTAAATCAAGAGGCAGTACTACAAATTAATTGATACACTCAGTTGTTAGTTCCTCAGCATAGATGAGCCATATACAGTACAATGCCTCAAAAAAGACAAGGAAAAAGGAAGAGCTGCTAAGACAAATGGTTACTATGAGCAATAGTTTCCCGGATACAACTCAACTGGTTTATCATTTCTCTTGTTCTATTTTATTTTCTTCTCTATTAGCACTGACAGTCAGAAACTTTTATACATGGAAAATATTTTTAAAAGCACTCATTAGGCTTGTTTTTTTTAACGAAAAATGATGACTCACCAACACCAGGCTATAAAACTGCATCGCTTTTCCTTTTATCAATCATCAGGAGATCCGTTCACTCCTACAACTTGAAGGTTTGATCTATATACACTGAAGTGAGACTTTACCTGGTTTGGCAGGGGCTTTACACCACAGTGCCTGATGAGTATGAAATGTTCGTAAAAAATCCTTCTTCCCGGGTATAATCTTACAGGACCCCAAATTGCTACGTAAAGGACACGAACAGCCAGTCACCACGGTTTTCAGTAGGTTCGCCATGTTCATATGAGCTCCCAACTTTCTGAATCCCAAATTTCCTTGAGGGTAAATCACTAAGAAGAAAGAAAAATATTTATATGCCAAGAAAAACATACTTTGTCATTTGAACATCAAAAAAATTTTTTAAAAAATACTAATTCAAAGAGCTTGGAATATAACAGCTGTATGTGGGCATCTACAGTGAATTTTATTTGCCAAGTCCTTTACTTAGAGAAGATGCTTCAAAAGTTTGTTTCCAATTCATATATTTAAAACTCGGAATTCATTCTCCCACTTAAAACTGTGGTTATAAACTCACTATTCAATTCCAAGCCTTGATCACCTTAATTGATCCTTAATGTAGCAGGGAAGCTAAAAAAGAAAATTGCTATAGAGTCCAATCACATTTTACATGAAAGTTATCTTCTAAGTCTGCATGCGCAGCAAAAATTGCATAGTCACCCTTGGATTTCCCTTAAATTGTCTATAATGCTGTATAGTACAATAGCAACTTGTTTAGCTACAAATGTTGTACAGAAAACACTGGCAACCTATTCAGTGCAGCAAGATGCTTATCCTGTAAGACTCCCTGAATTGAGCCTGAGTGAACATGAGATTCATGTCTGCCAAGTGCTCATCTCAAGAAAATTAAGCATGTGTGGGATATGACTCCAATTTTAAAAAAGAAGAATGTCAATATCACATAGGTTTGTGCTTGTAGATATGGGTGTAACTAGGAACTCTTCCATCAGTGGTTCTCACAAGCGGCCACTTTGCACCAGCTCTAACTGGGCTGGATGGAGGATCACTGACCTTTGCTGTTACTGACCTAAGCTTCAGTGGCAACCTCCATTGTTCTCCATGGCAGATCCCCAGGGGTGCATGGAAGGCACGCCCACCATCCCCTTGATTCTCAGAGTTCCCCCATCCTTCTTTTCTTTCCTTCAAAATCAGGAAGCAGAAGATTTGGAACTCTCAGTCAAATTCAGCTAACTCCACCAACTACACTTTTAGGCTCTGCCCCATCATGTGGGCCCTCAGGAGGCCCAGCACCCAATCCCAGCAGTTCCATGAACATTCTTCCAGTCTCCAGAGGAAGAAAGGTCTAGTTCACTCAGAACTGCTGCCACAACTCCCTGAAGCAACTTCTTACAAATACCAGAAAGCAACACGGAGGATGGAAATCCTTAATCCAGATGGTGCTTATTCTTAAAATGACCTTTAATTCAACAAACACATATAGAGGGCTGAGTTTCAGAGTCACAGTCATTAGAAGCATCTGTGGAATCAAACTGGAATAGATCACACGCTCTGAGATAAGAAAAGTCAACAAGTAATAACACTACAGAGTAAGGCAAGTCCAAAGTTCTTTGAGGGATCAAAGGAGATTATGTCCTCCTACAGAGCTCAGAAAAAGAAAAAAAAACACATTTGAGATAGAGAGAGTAATATGAAAAAAGCTAAGGAAGAGGAAGTATGCAAGATGGGTTCAGGCATGCAATCAAAAATGTATAATAATGCTTTGCACTTGAACAGGTTTTTAGATTTTCAGTGTTTCCACATGTCATTTCATTTCAATCCCAAGCACCCCTGAATCCCATAAATACACTCCTCATTTATTCATGGGTCACTTCTGGGTTGTTCATGGCTGAAAACAGAGAGCAAAAAGTTCGAAACTCAGCCACATATTCAAAACAGTCACTGAATCTATGCCAACAACCAAGGGAGATACAAAGATATATAAAAGGTAACTCTTGCCTTGGGGGAGATTTGTCCTACCATTACCAATGACCTAGTCTTATCTCCGCCTCCCCATTCACTCTAGTTTCTCTTCTTAGATCATCCCAGCTCCCCAACAACCACTGTTCTCATGGGGCTGATGAGGTTTACCCAGACCTCATCAGGGAGAGAACAAAGCTAGATATAATAGAGCCCGTGTATTGTCTAAGTTGGCCACTTCACTCCCTGAATCTCTCTGCACCTCAGTCTGCTCATATATAAAAGCACAAGAAAGTTTGTTTGTAGGACCCCATTAGGCTCTAAAACATTTATGAATAGATAAGATTTTACAATGTTTTAAAGCAGAAGTCCTGTTTCGGGCCATCTGGAAAAACAGCCTTGCCTACTTGGAAAATGGTAATTTGATGTTGAATAGATCCCTGGCATCAGATGGCAATTAAGGCAGAGGACTTCAGAGGCCAATTTCGCCCCAAAATTCCAATTTATTTAAGTTAAAAACATGTAAGACAGTGAACAGAAAGTAGTTTTATTGGTAAAGCACCAATTGGCTCAGTTAAGTGTCTGCCTTCAGCTCAGGTCATGATCTCACGTTTCTTGAGTTCAAACCCCATATCGGGCTCTCTACTGTCAGCACAGAGCATGCTTCAGATCCTCTGTTCCTCCCCCCCCCCCTCCTGTCCCACTCATACTCTATCTTAAAAATAAATTTAAAAAAGGCACCTGGGTGGCTCAGTCAGTTAAGCGTCTGACTTCGGCTCAGGTCATGATCTCACAGCTCATGAGTTTAAGCCAGGTGTCAGGCTTTGTGCTGACAGCTTAGAACCTGGAGCCTGCTTCAGATTCTGTGTTTCCCTCTTTCTTTGCCCCTCCCCTGCTCACACTGTGTGTCTCTCCTTCAAAAACAAATAAACATTAAAAAGTAAATAAACAAATAATGTTTAATAAAGTAGTTTATTGGCAAGAACAGTCCCTATCGCTAAGACTAAATTAAATACAAATGACCCTGAAATATATTCAGAGAATATTTGAATTTCCCCTATCATTATTTTAAAGCTATTTTATTCATGTGCTTCTATGGCTTTGAAGCGATGGGGGAAAGCTTTACAACTCAAAACTGAAAAAAAAATTTAGTATACCACTCATACAGCAGTGTAATGTAAGTTATTTGGGCAACTATCTCCCCTAATAGGTACTAAACCTCTTGAGGGCAAGCACGTCAGAATGATGACAGCCTAGGAGGCTAACAAGGTGAACTGTGGGTTGCAAGCCCTCATTCTGCAATTATTAGCTGTGTCCTTGGCGAGTCAGTCACTTACCTTCTCTGAACCTGATTTTCTCATCTTTAAAATGATAATAGCACCTGTGTTATATAGGGTTGTTGTAAGGAGTAAAAGGACACAATATCTTTATTGCTATTACTACTCACTTTGGTATTACCTCCGGCCCGGTGCTTTGCACAAAGGAGGAGAACAACAAGTACTTTTTAACTGAGTGAATAAATAACTAGGACTAGGTAACCTGAAACCTGCGTGTCTATAAAAACACATTCTCCAGAGTTTCAGGAAATTTCCTTCGAAAACGAAATGCTGTGTAGCCTTGAGGAAGATTGATTCCATCAGCAAAGGTAAACAGCTTAGCACATTGCTGATAAAAAAGTAGTCCTAAACTGTCCATTTAATAAAAAAAAATTTTTAAGCCAGGTTTGCAAATAAAAGGCATGCAACAGAGAAAAGGGGAATGTTTTTTCTTCTTTAATTTTTTTTATAGTTTCAGATTTTTACTGAAATTCCAGTTAGGTAACATATAGTGTAATATTAGTTTCAGAAGTAAAATTTAGTGATTCATCACTTACATATAACACCCAGTGCTCACCACAACAAATGCCCTCCTTAATCCCCATTACCCATTTAACCCATCCCCCCTCCAGCAAACCTCAGTTTGTTCTCTATAGTTAATAATCCAGTTAAGAAATGGGCAGAAGTGGGACACATGGGTGGCTCAGTTGGCTAAGCGAGGGACTCTTGGTTTCCGTTCAGGTCATGAGTTGGAGCCCCAGCACGAGATCTGTTTGGGATTCTCTCTCTCTCTCTCTCTCTCAAAATAAATAAACATTTAAAAAATGGCAGAAGACGTGAACATTTTTAAAGAGGGAAGCACTTTAATAAAAGCATGCAAACACCATGGGAAGAGTCTATCCTAAAAGACTCCTTATAAAGAGATCGCTTTAGGACTGCCCTGCACCACAGGGCGAATAAAGGACGCCTGCCACCGTAAACAAGTTACGTTTTTAAAGTGAAACATACCAACCAAGGACACAATACCCTACAGAAGCTTAGACTGGCAGGCAGCGTGACCTCGCCCAAACCCACCGGTCCCGCCCCTCCTTGGGCAACTACACTACAGCTTGGCTGGCATCTGCGCGGGACCGCTATTTATAACCTTCCCTGGAAGCCTATTGGCCCCGGTCGCTTTACAGTCATTCCTCCTCCGGGGTTCAGATCAGCTCTGCCCCCACTGCTGTCTCCTCCCGGTCGCCAGCCCGGGCCCCTCTCTCTGCCTGGATGAAGTTTGCTCAGACCACCAACCCTCACAGACATACACACTCACAACTTTCGCTCGCCACCTCCTAAGTCTCCAAACGATCGCCGACCCTGAATTCCCTCAAGGTTCAAGCACAATTTCGGGGCGTCCAGCTACCACTTCTCTGGGCGCACCCTCTATGGAAAGTCCTCTGTGACCTCCCCCCTCCTCCCATTTTGCCGGTCGAAATGACCCCGTAGGACTCCCGCTGTCCTCCCAAAGCTCCAAGACCTGCACCTACACAGCTGCCGCCTCGTTCCCTGCCCTCTGCAAGGACCCAGTTTCCCAACCACCCGCCCGCTCCCTTCCACGTCGCCCCGGCAAAAGACAAGGAATGGGGCCCTCAAGGCACGGTTCTCCCTCCGGACCCCAGCCTCTGGCCTGCGGGCGCCCGGGTGCACCCCACATCCAGGTCCCTACCGACCCCGCCCCCTTCTCCCTGACAGGTCTCCTCCCCTGCGGGGGCCCGGACCATCCCCAACAGCCCCGCGCCCCCTCCCCAGCTGTGCCCCAAACGCGCGCCCGGACTGCCCGCGCCGCGCGGCTCACCTTGGCTGGGAGGCAGGGCGGCCGGGCAGCGCGCCGCGAGGGAAGCCGCGCTGGCAGCCCTGGGCTCGGGCCCCGCGGAGCTGCGCCTCCAAC